TTTTTTTTTGTGTCTGTGAACGCTCAATCTCAGCTCTCGCTGGACCGATTTTGATGAACAATATGTCAAAAGATCACAAATCGTATCTAGTCGAAGACATTACCCTCAAAAATTGAAAAAAATTACCTCGTTCCCCGTAAATGGGGGAAACCTCCAAAAAAATTACAAATTTAAAAATCGCTAATTTTCGAAGTTTTTTTTAAATAAAATTTGGCATAACTTTTTCAAAAATGACCAAATTAATATAATTTTTTTTTTATAGATTTCTTAAGTATTTACCTATCATTTTACTTATTTTAGTGAACATTTGACTCTTTACCAGCCTTCACCAAGGGTTTCAAAATGACAATTTTTTCAACTTAACTTTTGAAAGTATTCAGGAAAGTCTGACACTTTTATATATATCTTAAATTAAAGCTAATGTAATGTAATTTATTAAGAAAAACAAAATTTGACCTCTAGACTTGTCTTCGTGGTGAAAATGGCTACCGAATGCTATTTTTGTGTGAAAATTCTCGATTTTATTTTTTCAACTTTATAATGCTATAACTTATTGAAAAGTGTATTGATCAATATAATTTTTTTATGGGAAATACTATTTTTTAATAATCCCTTTTTCATTCGACATACTTTATCTTAAGCAGGATATTAATAAGGAACTAGCAGATCATGTAGCATTTGGAATAATCCACCAATTTTTTAAAATTAAACACTATCTAAAGATTTGCATCGAAGCGTTTTATTTTGATAGTGATTTTAATCACTGTCAAATATCATTATACTTGATCCAACTATGCCACGTTACCACTGTGACGCGACTCCCTGTGCTGGGTTTTTTTTTAATATGTATTAATTAGTTGTTTCATAATTTTATGGAAATGTATTTGTTCCTTATTTCTTAAATATATGTACTATTTATTATTTCAAATTTACTTTTAACTTATATATGTACTCTACCCTATTTACAACATCCCATTCGTTTATTGAATAAAAATAGATTTAACTTGTTATTTTCTTATTACACTAAATAACTTATGTATATTTTTTTAACAATTGTTTTTCAAACTTAAAAAATCATTAGATTAGTCGGCATCATATGATAAAACATCATTTTCATATTTTTAATAATAAAAATACTATACAGGGTGTTCAGTAAGTCAGGAAACGGGTTTCTATTGTTCTCATTGTTTGTAACAATGAGAACTATAGATACCCGTTTCCTGACTTACTGAACACCCTGTATAATTCAATGCATATATTATTTTTTGTTGAGATACACTTGAATTAACTTGAACTGTTTAAATATTTTTTACATACTTAAGTAAATTATTTTATTTTAAAAAATGGTATTAATTGCTTTGGATCTCCATTTATATTATGGAAATTTATTTAGTAAAAATGGTCAGAAATAAAACTGATTTTTTTACACCCTTAATAAAATGTTAATTAATGTTATGCATTTTCAAATACAATGCTTTGTTCTGATATTTTATACTTACTTATGATTTGTTGGATTTATCAACTGAATGAATCCAAGATCATCGTAATTAATTTTAATTGTTTCAGTGTAAATTGAATTGATCTTATGACACATGAATTGTATAAAATCCATGAAATCTCTGTTGTGTGCCAAATATTCTGTTTTACATTTAGTTTTGAGATCAATTTTCTCACTAGTATTTATAATAGATTTATTTTTCTCGAAACAGTTATTTGCACTTTTAGATACATTACCAATGAATTCTTTAGTTTCGATAAATACTTGAAGATCAACATAATGATACTCATATTGGATTTTTTTTAAATATATATGATTTTTTATCTCATACATGTCATGAACTATTGTAATTGGGTTAGTTTTTAACTCGGGAAACACAAGTTTAAAGTCCATATAACTTATAAATGTCATAACATTGTATAAATTATCAAACATTGTCATTGAATTGTTTATTACTTTTACTAGTAATATTGTACAATTTATAAAGTTTTCTAATATTTTAGCGTCTAAAAGGTGTACACATATACCATTAACAATATTTAATAATTCTACGAATGTTAAAAGTACTTCGCTATACCTGTAGTTTAAAATATCAACAATATTATTGAAAACACTTAGCACATTTTTTTTGTTGAGTTTTTGCGCTACTAAATCTTGGACACTTAAAAATCCAATGGAATCAAGTTTCACGTATAGGTTTCCCGCAGATTTCCATCCATTTTGAATACACAGATGATCTTCTATTTCAATTAAATAATTTAAGTATGAAAATTCTTGAATTTTACATTCTACATAGGCGATTTTGTAATAAATTAAAGTCAATGTTAAAATAAATAGTTTAAGATGCATGTCAATAAATGTATAAAATAATAGCCACTATGCTATAAAATTAATTAAAACACTAATTTGTTTTCATTATTTATTGCAATATTCGTACCTAAAAATACCATGTTTATATTTAGATGTATGTTAACAAAATTCTAATTTATTAAGCGTCAATATACAATTACTTATTATTTAATACGTGTAAGACTCTAAAATTACAAATGTAATTTGAAAATAATTTTTTTTTTTTTTGTTAAATTTAAAAACATTAGTTTGGTATTATGTTTTAACGCTCTAATCTTTTTTTTTCCTCATCTTAATCCCAACTACTTTGAGTCGGCCACCATTACCCTAAACTTACACTTGACACGATTATCCACATCATTTACGCTCACATCAGCTGTTCTCATTCGCATTCTACTACATCCCTCTATCTTTTTTTCGGTCTTACTCTACCTCTTCTTCCTTGAAAATTGTTTTGAAGTTTTTTTATATTTTACAAAATATAAAAACATTTATAGAGTTTTTAATAGAAGTTCTAATAATAATTCAGAAAACATTATAATCAATTTATCTTAATTTATGATCAAGGTATAATAAATAAAAATAAAAGTAAAAATGAATTCAAGCATTTTTATAGACTAAAAGATTTTGAATTAAAAAAAAATTTATTAAAAATATAACTTTAACGTTGTTTAATAAAATCATTTTTATATTTTTAAATACTTAACAAAAGTATATTTGCGTTTTAATTTTATTAAAATCACTAACAAATATATTAGACCGTATTTGCAAAATATTTATATTTTTTTTCAAAGAATATGATTTCTTTATTCTACACGATGATTATATTAGTCCTAACCACTTAATATTTCACATAATAATAATTCTGTAAAAAAAATAATTTTTAATTTTTTTAGTTTCATTTATTTCTGGATTTGTCAGTTATTAATCCCTTTTTTAATTCCTTTGTTATATCTTTTAAATGTTAAATGACCCAAAGATTTGTGTAGATAATGTGTCGACAACATACATAATTATTAGAATTAGAAAAGTCGTTGTTGCGTGTGTCAATGGAACAGCGACAGATTTCCAACTTGCTCAAACGTATCAGTCAAAATATGCCGCCGTCCCCACACGTTACTGCACAACTGATTATTTGGTAAATTAACGTTGAGCGACATGATAGTCGACGATCGGACGCGCATCGCGTTTCATTCGGTCTATCGTCAGCGACGGGTCCGACGTGACACTTCATGAACGATTCGTGGACGTGCAAGCTCAAGAAGCCCGCAACCTGAGACGACCGTACGTAAAAGGGTCACGCTCGTCGGTACCACGGATGTGTAGTACGGGTTGACAAGACGAACGGTATCCGCGCACTCATATATATATGACAACGAGCCGACCGGTTGTTCATTTACGCGTCAATCAAAGGATGGGCAATTCTACAAGACCGACGGTCATTTAATGACTTGTCGCCTCCCGCAACTCGCGGTCTGTATTGGTACCTTATCATGACCTGCGCGCCATACACGCCTGCTTACCTGAATATTACGGGAGAAACGAGGAGGACTCACAGAAGTTTCTAGATAGAGCGGAGGATCTACTCTGTCATGGCGATATACACCCAACTGCGTGATTGAGAACCGTTCGAATCCTAAACCATCCGTGTTCAGCCCATGTAGAATTACTACTCCAGGAATTATACTAGGAAAATCATATGTGAAGTTTCAAATAAATTTAAACAATTACATGATACAGAATGATTTGATATGGTTTAACCCATTCCTAGTGAATTAAGTCTGAAATATTCCATGTGAAATTTGGTATGAAATTGATATTTAATATTTTGTATTATAATTTTTACGAACAAATTATAAAATTTTTTAAAGCAACGAAATATACTATACTTTGTTACCTTTTCGAGAGACATGCATTAAATTTTATGTAGTAATTTAAGGTTTAAGATTAGGTCTGAAATTGTTCATATGAAATATTTATTAAAAATCTAAAATGTTACTATTTTTTAGTTGCTTGGGTTTTATTAATATTAAGGTTAAAATCACCCGTTTAGCTGTGCTACAGTTCTTTAATTAAGAAGTCACATACTGCCTCATAAAAATTGAAGTATTAAAATATTTAAAATGGGAAATCAACCATATAACTCCTAATGGTGTGCTCCTGATTAATTATTAGGTTTATATTTTTCATTAAAGAAAAAAAACTTTTCCCATTTCAATTTTATTATAAAATCCTCAATAGTAATCCCTTAATTTGAATAAGACTAAAATTGAAATACTTTATATTCGTGATGTATTTCTTTAGCTATTTAATAAATATAAGTATATTTATTTAGTTACCGTCAACTTAAAACCTTACGCCATAAAACAACATTGCATCATTCTTACAAACATACTGTAAGTGCGATTTAAAAAAAATATATATTTGTTCATTTATTTAATTTCAGAAAATTTGTCATTGTTTAATTAATATATACTTCCTAAGATAACTTACAAACATTACTGTATTTTTTAAATTTAAGAAGATCATTTTGTCGTCGCGTCAACTTGCCTATTCTTCATTTATAATTTTTTTCCAAAGGGCAAATATAAGATAATTTGTAATAAACCAAAAAGAAAAGAAAAATTATATAATATTAAAAAGGGGCATCAAAATATAAGATGATGGTGAAGGGGCAAGAAGGTAAAGAAAAGGGTGTTTGTTATGGTGAGTAAATATTATGATATAACCAATAATAATATGTAGGTTTAAGGGAAATGAATAATGGAGGACAAAAATGGTGGTGATGTGGATTTTACTATTGAAGGTGTAAATGCTTATATTGTACCAAAAGAAAACTGAGGGTTGATTCTTAGTCAGAGTAAAGATATCATATAGCGTATGTATGGCCGAATAATAATAAAAATTATTAAATAAGATAATAAATGGCACAGTAACACATGTTTAAATGTGGCAAGATATGTAAGGGGTGCAAAGAATGTAATGATATGAATAAAGAAGAATTCAGAGGGGTGAATAAACAGTTTAAATACATGAGGGTAATGATCAAATAAATAAAAATGTACACAAACGTTGTGACAAAAATAATGAACTGATCTCAGGGTTGAACAATATTGAATAAATGAAGTCAATTATCCTACAAAACTTTATTACCTATCTTAATGGTTTATTACGCAATAGAGTATTTATAATTTGAAAGCGGAAATTTAAGTTTGTACTTACCTTGTATCCCACGTAATGCAATGCTTATTTTAGACAATCCAATGTTGATTATGAGTTCACTCTGTATTTCACACGTTGTACACTACGAGTTCGACAGTAAATATGACCGTTTGAGAATAAAGCGTTTAATTATGAATAATGCGAAACCGTTACACAAAATCTATGACTTTATTATTATATGCAGGAGATTCTATACACTCTATATTTTTTTATAATTATAATCAAATAATGAATTTTTAGTTGACTTTGTAGAATGAGTATATTATTTATGAGATTATATTTTATTGAGAGATCGACACCAATATTTCTTAAATTTTCCTCTGGCCTGGCCAAAACAAGATTCAGAAATATTTATATCTATGTAAAAGATTTGTCAAGGCGGAATTGTGGTGGCCCAATGTGTCCCGGCGGTATCGCCTTGAAAGGATGCGGCACAATAATCACCAAGACAAAAATTAAACACTAAAACATATATTCGTAAGTTTCTCTGTGTTGTCTGCCGGCGCGATGTTCATTAGAACAAAGACATTAAACCAACAATGATTAGCTACCCAATACACATAGGCTTACAAATATATTCTAACCTAATACACCTAACTTTAAAAATCTTTAATTGTAACGTTTACTCTGTCTGCCGGCGCGATGTTCGTGAGAACAAAGGCATTAAACCAAAAATGATTAACTACCCAAAAAGTATAGAGTTGCAATACACTTAGTCATATAATAAATATTTACCATTAACTGAGAAAATTAGAGTTGATTCGGGTTTATAATATATAAAAAAAATAATTCAAAAAAAATGTTTGAGGTTTAACATATTAATTGACATTTATTTCCACGATAAAATAAAACATTATTATTTAATGAACAAATTAAATCAAATTAAAGGATTCACCAAAACAAAATTCACTTTAAAATCTCTAAGTGTCATTTAATTTTGAAGAAAAAATATTCTAAGTAAAATTAAAACTATATTAAATATATTATTAATTTAAAAAACTAAAAANAAAATTAAAACTATATTAAAAATATTATTAATTTAAAAAACTAAAAAATATTAAACTCAAAGCCACAAAAAATTAATGAAAAGTCGCGGATACGTATTTCGGAAACAATGTTACCATTATCAACGCTTAACACATACTGACACCCCGACTAGAAAAAACTCCCTTATATACCCCTAGTGACGTCATCACTAAGTAATATTATCACATTTGCCAGTTTATACAAGTTTAATAATGAATTTTTCTGGNCAGTTTACACAAGTTTAATAATGAATTTTTCAGTGGGCCAAGATCCCAATTAATTAAATTGTTTTTATTTTTAAACATTTCTATTGCTTCTCTGATATTAAGTTCTTTGTAATTATTTACGTTATTAATTAGTTTTATGGTTTTAATGGAGTGATTATGTGTCAATAAATGTTCAGCCACTGGAGATTTTTCAACTTCTTGATTTTTAATATTTCTTAAGTGCTCTTTAAATCTGACCCGTATNAGGGATTGATTCTCATATTCCATTACGTTCTTTTCGGCAAGCAGTTTTTGACTCTGTAAGGTCCGTGCATCGACGAGAGTAATCTCCGATGGTGTAGCCAGCCTGTCTCTAACTCTGTCGACTCTCATATCAAACACACAATTTCATAAAATATTGATAGTTTGTTGAAGTCATTACCCTAGCACATCTAGCGGTTAAAACTATTCGTAAAAAAATAGTTTATAACGTGTCACTAGGGATTGGCTCTCATAACCTATCTGGTTATTTAAATATTCATTTTAAAATATAAAGTAACACAT